CTCCATGCATCTGATGAAGTGGGTTACAGCCCACGAAAGCTTATGCCCAAATAAATTTGTTAGTCTCTAAGGTGCCACAAGGACTCCTTGTTGTTTTTGAAGCCGGTCTGTAATCCTAACCTAATTGTGGATATTTTCATTATTCATACAAACATCTCGTATTTTCTGGATCCTACTAAATTCTTGGGCTCTAATTTCTGGAGCAATGAGTTACACATGGTGTGATAAATAAAGTAGGGGGGAGCTCCCTTTTATGGGCACCCAGCCAGCCAATTAGCTATAAAATCCCTCTTGGTCTGTTCTCTGCTTGCTTTACCTGTCAAGGGTTAACAAGCCCACAGGTAAAAGAAAAGGGGTGTGCACCTGACCAAAAGAGCCAATGGGAAGGCTAGAACTTTTGAATTTGGGAAAGAAATTTTCCCTTTGTCTGTTGTTCTCTGGGCTGGAGGGACAGGGCAGCAATGCTGTAAGCAGCTTTAAGCCAGGTATGATCATAAATCGTCAGATCATACCTAGAACTACTTATCTGAACTCCAAATGTGTAAGTAGATCAGAATGTTTAGCTAGATGTGATCAGGTTTATTTCTGTTTATTTCTGTTTATTTTTTAAGGCTTGTGGATCTCCTCTGTGCTAACCCCAGATGCTTTTGTTTGCTTGTAACCTTTAAGCTGAACCCCCAAGAAAGCTATTTTGGGTGCTTAATTTTTGTAATTGTTTCTTTTAAGATCTAGCCTAAGGTCCAGATGTATTGTTTTCCTTTTTGTTTTTAATAAATTTACTTTTTTTAAGATGAGGATTGGATTTTTGGTGTCCTAAGAGGTTTGTGCATGTTGTTTGATTAGCTGATAGTCACAGCTAATTTCCTTTGTTTCCTTTCTCAGCTATTCCCTGGAGGGGGGGTGAAAGGGCTTGAGGGTACCCCACAGGGAGGAATTCCCAAATGATCCTTCCTGGGTTCAAAGGGGATTTTTTGCATTTGGGTGGTGGCAGCGTTTACCAAGCCAAGGTCAGAGAGAAGCTGTAACCTTGGGAGTTTAATACAAACCTGAAGTGGCAAGTATCAATTTTTAACATCCTTGTGGGCCCCCACTTCTGCACTCGGAGTGACAGAGTGGGGATTCAGCCTTAACACATGGTCATTATGCAGTGGGTAGAACAGCATTTTCTTTTTTTCTCTTTTAAGTGTCATTCAATCAATTCGGTGGAATGTTCTCTTGGTCTTGTATTATGAGAAGGGATAAACAAAAGCACTCAATTCACAGATCTGGCAGCCCCACCATCTCTTGATTCCCTCCACATGCCCTTTCCTCCCTTCTCATGTACTACTTCCTAGCCTGGAACAACCTCTTTAAACCTGTTTGCCATGCAGCCACTCTCTCCTCAAAACCCACCTCTTCACATAAACCTACCATTTCTTTTTTTTAATAGATCTTAGGAAACTCCGAGTGTCCCAGCTCCTCTCCTGCTTCTTTGTCAGTATGTGGTAGTCTTGATAGCATTTTGGAGACTATTTATATCTTTGCATGTCAGTAAAGCTCTTAGCTCCCCCCCCTTCTGGGTCTTCTGTTTCAGATGTCAAAGCAAACTTCAATCACTTTACTTGCCTCAGAATATGGCATTTTCCCTGTGTACCTTGAAAGAAAAAAGAATCCATCTCAAGCCCTGTTCAATCACAACTAGTCACGTACCTTTAGGAGGGGCCGGTTGGATACTAACAACTGGCTGCTGCTTTGTCAGTGGCAAAAGCGCTGGAAGAGCCTGAATAATGATGGCTTTAGCCTGAATGCCAAGGCTGGCCTGAGCTTCAGGTACTGCAGGCAGCAAGAGAGGCTTGGGTTGAATTGAAGGTTTGGATGTTGTCTGACTAGATCTTTTTGGTGTCCCCACAGAGCTGTTTGCTGGGGAAAGAAAAAATCTGAGTTGAACCACGAAATCTAAAAATAAAAATTCTGTATAGCACTGTGTGAGAGTTACTGAAGTCTTTCTTTGTCCATCTATTTATTAAAAGATCCGTCTTATAAACAAATGGATTTATCTATCAGAAATAAAAGGGCTGTCTGCTAGAACTGGACTGCTGACACCTTTCAGTGAACATTTTCTTGTGCAAAGCATGTGATAATTGGGCCTGCAAATTTACCCTAACTGTGAGCTCAACTATAAAGAGTATGTGAAAGTTCATAAAATGAACTCAAGGACTGTGTTACTATCATGCTCGGTACACAACAAGTGTGGGACTGAAAATTTAAAAAAAACAAAATTGGTGTGTTGGATAATAGGCCCAATTATTTTGTCCACCAATGAGGGGATGGACTGTTCCACTGACAATTCCCTTTTGGGGTCCCTAAAAAGAGAGACTTTTGGGGAGAAAAATTGACTATTTGTGCGAGCTGCATCATCATGGCTGCCAGCCTCACCATCTCCTGGGACTCCAGGACTTAATCCTAATCCTGAGAGATGTCCTAACCAGACCAGACCAGACCAGAGAGAGGGACCCAGATGACACCACCTCCTTTATGAGCTCCAGCTGAATCCCAACCACTACCTAAGATGAAACAGGATCGGATTGTAACATCTCTAGCCAATCTCAACTACCGTCTCTTTTCCCCAGAAGGACAGTTCCTACTTTGATCCCAACCAGGGCCGGCTCTAGGCACCAGCGCTCAAAGCATGTGCTTGGGGCGGCATTTTCCAATGGGCGGCACTCTAGC